AGACTTCCCATTAGGGATGTAAAAAACTATGAATTTTCATGACCGACCACCGAGCCTCATTAACCGGTTGAAACCGGTTAACCGCGTAGTTTAAAATAGTCCACGTTCTTTGAAATAACAACCATTTCGAGCCGCGTACTTTCCATAAGAGCAGCTGTGCGTTCTACTGGATCAGAGCTGAGACAGCGGCGCCAAAACCCACAACAGCTTCGGCACCTTTGAGAACTGCAGAGAACTGCTGTTTTAATCTTCCCATTCTTCTGTGCTGCGTGTTAAAGCATTTTTAAGCAAAGATGGCTCGTTCACATGTATGGAGGACCAAAAATGACTAAAGTATAAATAAATAAATAAATAAATAAATACAGGAGTATATTAATAAATACATTCATTTTGGACAATAAAAACTAAATATTTACATTGATATGCTAAATATTACTCTGAAATCAAATAAATATACTTTTATTTAGGTTATTTATCAAACTCTACATTTTTTCCTTTATTTATTTATCCATTTATTGCATATATTTATTTATGTATTTCTACATTTCTTCATTTATTTATTTATGTATTTCTGTGTCGCTGCATTTCTTCATTTATTTATTTATGTATTTCTACATTTCTTCATTTATTTATTTATGTATTTCTACATTTCTTCATTTATTTATTTATGTATTTCTGTGTCGCTACATTTCTTCATTTATTTATTTATGTATTTCTACATTTCTTCATTTATTTATTTATGTATTTCTGTGTTCCTGTATGCTAATTAGGTGGGCGGTGCTGAACTCAATCTAGAACAGGATTGGTTAGGATTGCGTGAACTCTGGTCTCGATCATTACTGCCTCACATTACGGTACTCTGTTAGCTAGCTAGAGATCCTCTGTGCACTTTTGTGTGGTATGATGGCAGTTTCGAATGTAAGTTTTTTAGGAGCCATTGCTCATCAATTAAGAGCATTAGCAAATGATGTTAATGATGCTGAGCATAATGCACCTGAGGACTATCTACTCTTTCGGCTGGAAAGACTATTAAATGTTTTAGTTCATCACAGTGCTGACCCAGAGGTAGACTTTGATGCAACTGTGCTGGACGCTCTTCAACAAGCAGCAGCTTCACATCCTCTCACAAACCGAGAAGGCTAAAGCCTAGCGTACATCGGACTGGCAACTGATTATATCCGTCGCATATGAGTTGCTGCCCCGCACACATCGACAATCTGACGAAAACGGGCAACTCCCAGTAGCAGACCAGTCTCGGGAATAACAGCGCGTACATCGACAGCAACTGGCCTCAACTACAGTGTGTTTTCTGACATAAACTGTTGCGGGCTTATGTGCGCAATACACGCACGTTGTCAGAGCGGCGCATGGAGCGCACATCGGGTCATATCTCCGAAACTGAGGACAACTAGTTGCCGAAAAGTAGAACACGGGCAACTGACTGAAACTGGAGACCGACTGTTCATCTCCAGTTGTAAGAGCGCGCACATCGACCGATTTTGGCAACTGATCATCTCCATCATCTCCTCTCAGTCGCCAAAAGCCGCCTTCAACTTGTCTCCAGTTTCTCTGTCGATGTACGCTAGGCTTAACTTTGCTTCTGTCTGGTTGCCCTACTGCCCACCAATCCTGTTCTAGATTGAGTTCAGCACCGCCCGCCTAATTAGCATACGGCAACACAGAAATACATAAATAAATAAATGAAGAAATGTAGAAATACATAAATAAATAAATGAAGAAATGTAGAAATACATAAATAAATAAATGAAGAAATGTAGAAATACATAAATAAATAAATGAAGAAATGTAGAAATACATAAATAAATAAATGAAGAAATGTAGAAATACATAAATAAATAAATGAAGAAATGTAGCGACACAGAAATACATAAATAAATAAATGAAGAAATGTAGAAATACATAAATAAATAAATGAAGAAATGTAGAAATACATAAATAAATATATGCAATAAATGGATAAATAAATAAAGGAAAAAATGTAGACTTTGATAAATAACCTAAATAAAAGTATATTTATTTGATTTCATAGTAATATTTAACACATCAATGTAAATATTTAGTTTTTATTGTCCAAAATGAATGTATTTATTAATATATTCCTGTATTTATTTATTTATTTATACTTTAGTCATTTTTGGTCCTCCATACACATGGTCAGAGCAGCGAGTGACACGCCTCGCAGGTCACCGCTAAAGTTTAAAAGTGATGTGTGGAGCTGATGCCAAGGACCATAAACACAAACATGGTCCATGTGGTATGACTGGAGCCACGTATTTGTGAGGATTCCTTTGGGCTCCGTGACACAGAGGAGCGCGACAGACCGGTATGTGTGTGTACAAACATGTGTGTGTGTGTGTAAATATAAGCTCCAATGTAGTTCTGACCTGCACCAGTGTGCAACTAGCAGGCGGGAACAGAGGGGAGAGATGATGCGTGTGGATGTTACGTATCAATGGAGGGGGGGGGAGTGTGTGTGTGTCTGTGTGCGCGTGTGTGCGTGCATATGTGGCGCGTGCGGCGTGAGAGTCGGCCCGGAGTTTACTGTTACATTGGCGCACACAGCTAGATACGGACCCTCTCGTCACAACATGCGAATAGGGCTTAAAATAGCGTTATGAAGAGACCTCCCCTCTCCTCTTTTTCTCTTTTTTAACCGACAGCTTTGACTGGTTAACGCTGTGACGGTCAACCACAGGTTAAACGGTCACCGATTTACATCCCTACTTCCCATAGCCCTCACTCCTGCATCTGCCCCTTAGCGCGGAGTCCTCAGCGCGGCGTCCTCAGTGTGGCGTGCTCAGCGCTCAGACCTTGATTGTCTGCTTCGCCTTAATGTGTTTCACTTGTGTCTCTCTGTGTATATATGAACCCTGTGCTCATCCACATTTGTTGCTGGTCCATTGTCTATACAATACAATTTATTCTGGTGTAGCCTTAAATTACAATAGCAGTCACCCCCTGACCCCCCTCATCTGGGATGTACAAAGCGGGCCGGGCCCAAGTCTTTAAACAAGCCGCAAATGTGCCCAAGCCCACTTGCCGCGGTCACACAGCACCTAAAGCCCCGCGAAGTGGGCCCTGGCCCACTTAAACCGGGCTTTAGGGTGCGCATGTGACCGCAACCTAAGACTTGATGAAGACTTGACAAAGACTAAGACATGGCGAAGATATGAGTTTGAAAAACGACCATTTGTAACAGCAAGGGATGGGGTGAGGGGGGTATGTTCATGACGATATATTCATATTTATAAGGACAAAACAAAGAAAAAAATCTTTTTTTTGCTCATCATTTCCATGACGTCCGTAATCTGGGTCACACAGAAAAAACAACTCGAAGCAAACATCCTTGGAGCATTTCTTTTATTTGTGATACGGCTTTAAGAGCTAACAAGTTTTGCAACATTCTGAGGCATTTTTCCGAGTGGTAGGGAGGAAGCATCCCCACTCTGCTGCTGTCCGAACTGCTTGAAAGTATATCTCTGTCTTGTGTTCTGTGCAGCACTAAAGGGAGAGGAGAAGAGCAGGCTATAGAACGTGGTCCTTGTTGTTCCTATAGAATACCTAATGAGAGCGTAGGAGTGCCAGCAGGTTAATTCAGGCTGACAAAGAAAGCACCATTACTGCGGCGCAACGCTATGTGATATTTTTATTTATACAGAACACGTGCATTTATATATAAAGATGACTTACTGACATACTTACTTATATACAGAAAGTGTTGCTTTTAAAGCATTGCTCATTTGAACCAAATCTTCTTCAATTATGCTTTTATATCCTTGTCTTTTCTACTTGAATGTACATCTTTTCTTAAACAAGACATTCTAAAAGGTAAATAGATCAGTAAATCTAGTAAATGCAGCTAAAGCCGAAACTGACTTCCAGACTGGAAGATGACCTGCTGCTGTTCGATAGCATCCAGGGCCAGCATCTTCACCCTCAGCCTTCCCACCTCACCTGCTTCCTCCATTAGTCAAAAGCTTGCTCCCATAACGCAACCAGTGTCCAGGCCCCGGGGAACAGAGATAATGTCATATGAAGCAATGATATCCCCTGATCAAGTGTCACTGTCAGAGTCTATGTGCCAAAAAATAACCAATAAATCTATTTAATGCATCTCTTTGGCCTCTCTCCCTCTCTCTCTGGTCTCTCTGTGGCACTCTGATTGGTCAGAATGCTCATGTGTTACTCTGGTCCTACAGAAGTATAGAACCACTGCACACCTACTGCAAAAAATGGAGAGAATCAGAGCTGGTCAGATTGTATCACTTCTGCTAATGTTTGGGCCGTCCATGATGTGAGCATGCACAAATGAGCACAGTACATTGATCTGAATGGGCAGACATCTTGGAGACCAGGGGCAGACATCTTGGAGACCCCAGGCTTGATGTTGTCTCTCCAGATTTAACTTATCTTCCAAGGCCATAATCAACATGATTACGGTCTTTGTGATTTACTACTTGAGTCTGGTCCAATTCTGCTTTCTTTTCATTCAGGCCTGTAATGTTCCTCAGAGACTGGACCCATGGACAGGACAGAGAGTAAAGCAGTAGCCTACACAATCCAAACACACACATTGTAATAAATGAGTGCTGCGATCTCTGAAATATACAGTTAAAGAAAGCTCAAGCAGGAAAAGTCCCGGTGGAATGCTCTGGCCTCAAATGAGTTTTGCAGATGATTGAATTTACAGTAAAATCAACTCTCCATCTTGAGTATAGATTTCCCGGAACACCATTATTCTCCTATCTGCCCCCAGGCGTCCCGACAGAAAATGGTGTTTTTATGATCAGCCGGAGTAAGCAAAGCATTTCGAGCAATACTGCAAATACATTAATGCTATATATCTTTTTTGTTACGTCGGCTAAAAGGGGTGAAAACTCTTTAAGATAAGATAAACTTTATTGATCTCACAATGGAGAAGTGTAATTATTTATTTATTTATCTTCCCATTAACTGGTGTGTTTGTGTTGTCTCCACAGAGCAGCCAGAGCCATCAGTGATTACCTGTCAACCGCAGACACCGACCCCCAAAACGGAGCAGGTGAGACACGTTTACTTCCCCTCTCTCCCCCATCCTGCCCTGCATAGTGTACAATACATGCAGTGTTTAAATGTTGACTCGGGGCAACAGAGGGAAGGATCAGTGTGTTGTTTGGACCCGTGTCAGCGATTCCCCGCACAAAAGACAGGAATGTGTTAAAATGACATGGTTAAAACTAACTTCTCCTGGCCTTCTCTGGCTCACTCTACTCTACTCTACTCTACTCTACTCTACTCTACTCTACTCTACTCTACTCTACTCTACTCTACTGTTGCTAGGATAAGGTGCCAGGTACTAAATAGCAACCTGGTAGACTATAGCCGCTTAGAGTAAAGTAGAGCTGAGTAGAAGAGAGCCAAGTAGAGTAGAGTAGAGGGCTGATGGAAATAGGGTTTTTGCCCAATAGAAGGATATCACTAAAACAAACCCAGTAAAGTAAATTGGTTTTGCAGTAAAGGAACGCAGATGAATTGTAGTTTAAAGCCTGTAATGCTTAAAAACAGCTCTGAGTCTGGCGCTCGTGTGTGTGCACCTGGCAGCTCTCCGACTGGACTACTGCTTCTGTGCAGCTTATTTTTTTAGCACTTCTCTCATCCCTCGTCTGTTCACTAGACTGTTCCCACTATGCTATGGAGTCTATTAATCATAAAAGAGACATATTATGAAAAAATGTTTTTTTGAGAGGTGAATATTATTCTCTCACAACTTTCTAAATCCTCAGTTTTCAGACAAGTTTATATTTTACTTTACTGTTTACTATGGCGTCAAGTGCAGCAGTGGTTACTAAAACAGTTAGTGACCAAAATACATTCTTCACGCACCAGGAGTCATTTTGGTCAGCAGAACAACAAATGAGTAAGATAACCATCTCCGCATACCCAGAGTTACACTGGCATAAGAACCAGTTTATGTCCTTTAAAACAAACGTATTGTCTCAAATGGGGGTTCTCAGTGAAGGAAATTTCATTGTTACAACCCTATGTCTCCCACTTGATGACAATGATCCTGACCCTTTATTTTTCCATGCAAATCAAGATGATCTTCTCAATCTAAAGTATTGAAACTCTGACTTAAATGTTGTGTATTTGTAAATGCATGTGTGTTCCCTGCAGATCACCTTCTGTCTGACACCTGCATCGTCCCAGATTGTGATTCTCCGTTGATCAGCCGCTTTCAGAACAACAACCTGCCCTCTGAGAACCACTGTCCACCCAAGCCCAGCCGGGGCACCCCAGCCTGCACCCATCCCAGCCGGAGCACCCCAGTCTACACCCATCCCAGCCAGGCTCCTGTGGTTCCTGTAGCTCCTGTGGCTCCCGTGGGTCCCTCTAAGCGCAGGCTGTCCGGGGGGGACCGCAGCGTTTCGTCGGAGGAGCGGATAGGAGCGAACAGTTCAAGAGAAAAGCCATCTCGTGTCTACACCATCACCTGCCAAAGCAGCATGACTCTGGGGGCGCGGGGCAGCGAGGAGAGCCTGGAGCTGGACGCGCTGAAGGCGTCCCGCGAGCAGGCTCTGGCTCAGGTTAGACTTTGATAGGAAGAGTTCACTGCCTGGGAATTCCGTCAGAAGCTGCACACAAAGTATTGTTTAGATTAACCAGTGTAATTGTTACGCTGGTTTAGAAGTTGGTTGTGGGATAACCAATCTAAATAGTAGAACTGATTGGTTCTTTGACCGATGTATTTGTCAGAATGACGATTGGCGCTAACTATACAACCTGCATATTATTTACCTCTAATTTGGCGCAACCTGTATGTGGATATCTGATCCTGTCACACCGCAGTTAAGCAGAGCAGGTCCTTGTCTGCTTTGGCCGTTAGTGTTGTTGTGTGCTTAGGTGAAATCTGTTTTATATTTTATGGATAAAATATACAATAACCCGTGTCCACAGGCGCCCCTGTCCTCAACCCCGTCCTGTGTCAGCCAGCCTCCGCGCACTACCACCAGCCACCACCGGAGCAGTCACCACCGCAGCAGCCAGCCCTCTGGGACCCAGCCTCAGAGCGCAGCGGTGGGGCCTCTGAAGAGCTCGGGCAGCGCAGCCAACATCCGGGACTGGGGGCTCCGCAGAAGGGCATCGCGGGAGGATTACAGCCCCGACTGCGTTTCCTGCATCCGGGCCCCATGTCAGAGCCAGCGCTCCCTGGACCTGGACCTGCCGTCGCGGGAAGGGGGCAAGCCACGCAAGAAGTTGGAGAGGATGTACAGTGAGGACAGAGCGTTGTCGGAAGATAGGGGTACGTATCTGTAGAATAAAACTATGAGAAAATACTCTTTTGCATACATTTGAGAGTCACGTATATGGGCTGAGAGCTGATTGGCTGAGTGAGGGTGGTCCTCTCTTTTTGTTGTGAAGATGTGACAGAAAATGCATGCATGTAAAAACTAGGCTTAGAACCAAACTTTGAGGGTGAATAACTAATTACATGGATGTTACTACATAGTTAATTTATTTGTGGTCTAAGAATGAGGTACCAGTTTTAAGATATTATACATTCAGACTGATTTTTTTCTGTTGGGAGAAGAAGAAAAAAGTTTTATCATGAAACAAAAAAAGCTTTAATGAGTTTGAAAGCAGAGCATTTAGACAAAAAGAGGATGTGTTTGTACCATGGTATTAGCGTGGATGGGGCTAAAAACAACTCCAGGTCTTTTTGTGCATCGTATGTCTCGTTTAACCTCAAATTTCCACCATTTTAGAATGATGTTTACTAACTGAATCACACTCCTGTTGTCTTTTTTTTCAGAGGATGGTCCTAATAGCTGGTTTCCCAAAGAGAACATGTTCAGTTTCCAGACGGCCACCACCACCATGCAGGCGTGAGTAAACCTCTGCCTCCTCCTCCTCAGAGCAGACACACACACTCACATGCACGCACACATGCACACAATCAAACACACATACTGTATACACAAACCAGGATCACATCGTCCTACTACCTCACACCTTTCACAGTTTGCCAGTTTTGGATTCTGTTGAGGCCACTTCTACTTTTTTTCTCTGCTATGATTAATATATTCCCACACTTACTCATATGAACGTGTGTTATTGATTCTCAAAATGTCTCTAATTAGTCTAACATACATTTAACGTTCCCAAAATCTGTATCAGGAACAGTGATCCCTGTCGGAGGATTTTGTCTATCGTACATGTATGTTTTTAGTGGTAGGCTTTTCTGAACTAGTTCAGAATCAGAATCAGAATCAGAATCATTTTTATTGCCACGTGAGTAACAAAGTTATCACTTGGAAATTGTCTTGGCAGAGAGCGTGCCACTTCGCCATTTGCGGCGCTGTGTGCAGCAAGAAACAGCAGAGAGCAATAACATACAGTTCACAGACAATTGGATAGACACATTGTGCTTTTTATAAACCACGGATTTTTTTCTCGGGATGAGCACCTCCGGCGGCCGGCCCAATGTAGCTGTCAGAGGGGGGCGGGATCAGGGAGGGGGTGAGTAGGAAAACAATGAGGAATGGAGGGGAGGGAGGGAGCAAGATGGATAGGTAGAGGGAGGCGGGGGTGAGGGATCCTTGCTGGAGACTGAAATAGTGTGAGTTGTTGTAGATTGTGGGACCTTGTTTATGGCCTTGGACGAGGAATGTGAGATAAGAGTGGAGAGAAGACACAGCAGGAGAAAAACACATTGCCTGAGAGGGACAATATTATATGCAATGTAGCATCAAAAACAGGCAGATATTCTATTAATTCCAATTAAACCAAATTACGGCGCCCTCAGACCTCCGTACACAGGGGCAAATCCAAGCCGGGTCAGAGAGTTCAAGCCTGACAAACAATGTCATTCAATCTCAATTCCAGAGTTCAAGTTCAGTTCAAACATGCTCAAAGTGAACAGTTCACGTTCAAAGTTCAAAATTTTAACTCTGAACTCTGAAATTTTACTTTTTTTGTGACATATTCAAATATATACTTTTTTCACACTACAAGCTAGAAATATATATATTTCTAGCTTGTAGTGTATGTATATATATATATATATATATATATATATATATATATATATATATATATATATATATATATATATTAGGGATGTAAAAAACTATGAATTTTCATGACCGACCACCGAGCCTCATTAACCGGTTGAAACCGGTTAACCGCGTAGTTTAAAATAGTCCACGTTCTTTGAAATAACAACCATTTCAAGCCGCGTACTTTTCATAAGTGCAGCTCTGCGTTCTACTGGGTCAGAGCCGAGACAGCGGCGCCCAAACCCGCAACAGCTCCGGCACCTTTGCGCACAGAGAACTGCTGTTTTAATCTTCCCATTCTGCTGTGCTGCGGGTTAATACCAAAACTTTCTAGCAGCAAACGACGGCTCGTTCACATGGTCAGAGCAGCGAGTGACGAGCCGCGTCTCACAGGTCTTCACAAAAGTTTAAATACACGTGATGTGTGTGGAGCTGATCTCGAGGACCATAAACACAAACATGTTCCATGTGGTTGGACTGGAGCCGCGTATTTGCGCGAATTCTTTGGGCTCCGTGACACAGAGGAGCGCGACAGACCGGTATGTGTGTGTGTATGTGTGTGTGTATGTGTGTGTGTATGTATGTGTGTATGTATATGTGTGTGTGTGTAAATATAAGCTCCAATGTAGTTCTGACCCGCGCCAGTGTGCAACTTTGACGGTAACAGAGGGGAGAGATGATGCGTGTGGATGTTACGTATGGAGAGGGGGAAAGTGTGTGTGTGTGTGTGTGTGCGCGCGCGCGTGCATGTGTGCATATGTGGCTCGTGCGGCGTGAGAGTCGTCCCGGAGTTTATAATACATGGGCGCACACAGCTAGATACAGACCCGCTCGTCACACCGTGCAAATAGGGCTTAAAATAGCGTTATTAAGAGACCTCCCCTCTCCCCGTTTTCTCTTTTTTAACCGACAGCTTTGACCGGTTAACGCTGTGACGGTCAACCACCGGTTAACCGGTCGCCGATTTACATCCCTAATATATATATATATATATATATATATATTATATAAACTACCTATATATATCTCCTGTACAGGATGAGAGCCTTTTGACTCCAAAACTGAGTTGTCCAACTCTGCTCATATGTACTACAAACAGTAATGCGCTGCAGTAGGTGTGTCTATACTTTATGTCAAATGTAAACGGTTGGCCCTGTGTTGCTAACTTACCCTTTGTTTTCATCACGACTCGGGCACATATTGAGAGTCCAACAACCCATGAAAAGCACTAGTATACAGCGCCTCACCGCAAAACGGAGTCGGGGTTTGTTCACAGACGGTGGAAACCGTGGGAATTTTTAGTTTTCGGCGGAAAAAGTGCGGAGAATACAGGAGCGAGGAACTTTCTCTCGTTGCGTTTCAAAAGAGAAAACAGATGTTGGTTAATTTACGGTGATGTCGGCCGTTCATGACACATAATGTGAATTAATTCACGTTCAAGTTCTTTATTAAAGAATGTGTTGTGTTCAGTTCAACGTTCACAAAAAAATGAGCGTGTTCAATGAACGCGTTCTTTTGAACTCGTTCACGCACAACACTGGGTAGGGGCAACCGGAGCACTCGGAAAAACTCCGGGGCACCCGGAGGAAAGTTACAGTGACATGAGGAGATAAGAGAGTTCTAACCACTCAGGCACCCCAGAGACAGGGTTCTCCCCTCTGTGGCACAAACTAATAAAACCCCCATGCTTCAACACTTTTTAATAACATAAATGAAAGCCCTGTTTCCACCAGCCCTACTTGGCCTTACTCTACTCTACTCTGCTCTGCTCTCCCCTGATTGGAAGTGTTTCCATAGGCCCTGTTTAACAGGTACCTGGTAGTTTTTTTAGTACCTGGTTCTATCCAGGTAGAACTGGTGCTGAAGTGTTCTAACTGACAGCCCAACTGCTGGAAGCCATGGTTACCAAGGAATTTTTGCATTTTCTGGTTTGTAGTGGTAGGTAGGTAGGATACGGTACCAGATACAAATACAGAGTAGAGTAGAGAATAGAAAAGAGCCAAGTAGGTGCTCGTGGAAATGGGGCTTGTGGTCTTTCATGTAAGCCTTAATGTCGAGCCCTGATCCAAACCTCTCACGTCCATGAAGTTAAATGATGCAGAGTTAAAGCGCATTTATTTCCCACGTCGTCTAATTACAAGTGAAAGTCAGAGAGCAGCCCCGGCCCCCTGGATCTCACTGACTGGATAATGAGCAACCATTCTCTTATAATTACGACCTCCGGAAACAAAGAGGTGTCAGCCTTTTGCTCCTCTGTCCCACGCCATGGCGTCCTCCCTTTGTGTAGCTCAGAACCCCCTCCCACCTTCCGTCTTGTTGTCCTTGATGGTGTGCGTGCATTATTGTTGCAGTGTATCCAGGACATTACTTCATTGATTGAGACAGACGTCTACTCTGCCAATGTTCAAATCCAGGTTAAAAACTGTTTTGTTCAGCTGTGCATACAACTTCTTGTCTTGACTCTCTTTAATGTGCAGTAGCTGAGTGGTTAGCACTCTCGCCTCTCAGCAAGAAGGTCCTGGGTTTGAATCCCGAACCCACTCAAAACAGGGATTCGAGTGGAGTTTGCATGTTCTCCCTGTGTGTGCATAGATTTCTTCCATGAACAATAGGTCCTCTATTCAGGTCTCTGGTCCTGATCAAGAGCATCAACATCTGGGTAAGGGTGCCCTGTTTCTACGGCGACCACTGCGCTTGACAGAGGCCTTAGCGGCAAGTCTGTCTCACATTTTCAGGACGACTGTTCCAGATTTTAGCCGCAGAATTCTGAAACGCTTCCTCCTCCTGTTTAGTCCTGACTCAGGGGCACCAGCAGGAGGCCAGTCCCTGCGCTCCACAAAGTCTGAGTTTGTTCATAATGCACTAACATTTCAAAGATCTACTTGAACCTCAAGCGTTTTGCTTCCTCACTTGGATGGCTGTGCGATTAGTGGTTCTGCTGGCACTCCCTCTGGCTAGCCATGTCACTAATACCGCTGTTCACCTCTGATAATGAATTACACAGACCTAAATTACAGATCTCATTTCCTCTATGTCTCTCCTGCTTTTGTAATGTATCCAGACAGTGTGAGTTTCTTCAGCATCACTGTGCTCTGTGTGTTTGGAATGCTGTGATGCCAACGTTTATTTTTAGAAACCGTGAGAACCTGCTCCTATGTGGGCACGAGATATGGGTTACGAGAAATATATATATATAATATATATATATATATAAAAATATATTTTGCCCTTCTCTACTCTACTCTGCTGTAGACTACTCTACTCTACTCTACTCTACTCTACTCTACTCCAGTCTATTCTGATTAGCCCTGTTTACCAAGAACCAGTTATTTTTTAGTATCTGCTGTGTTTTAAGGAATTTCCCTGGGTACTTTTTTGTTGCTAACATCAGTTACCTGATACTAAAGCGCAATGCAAACACAACTAGGTAGAGTAAAGCCAAGTAGAGTAGAGTAGGTAGGTAGGTAGTAGGTCAAGCAGTGGAAATGGGGCTAGTAGAGCATAATCCAATCTGATGTACAATAGAAAAAATGACATAAAATGAAAAAAGGTGCTTTGACGTGGCTGAGACGTCAAAGCCACATCTTCAGTTATAGATGAACTTTTGAATCTCCTGCATGCCCTCTTGTTATTCATGCTAACGCTTTACTCTCCTGTTTTTCCACATGGCTGCTGTCCAAATGCCGACTGCAGAATTTCGTGAGTAACTTTCTCTCTCCTCCTCCTCCTCCTCCTCCTCCTTTTCTTTTCTGCTCCTTCCTTCTGCTTGTGTTGGTTCAGAAACACGTGAAGCCTGTGGAGCGTTGTGCTGCAGTGTGCTTTCCCCTCGGTCTCGTCTGTCAGTGGATGTTTGCTGAAGTCGGATGAGTCAGCTTCATACAGGACCCAACACCTGACAAATGCCCTCTTCATGATGTTATTCTAAGTTCTGTTCTCATGAACCAACAGGACAAAAACAACTCGGTGTTAAAAGCAAATCTCCAACCCAGGGATCTACCATAGACAAAGAACTGACAGATTTAAAGTCGAGGATCCAAACCTTTTTTGAGACATAACACGCATTTGTGCAAACAGAAACATTGTCTTGTAAGAGTGAGGAATTTGCACCACAAAATGCTGTCTTCATCTTAAAACAAACTATATTTCTCATAGTTCAGAAAGACTACTGGGGTTCGTTGTTTGGGCTGAAAGCTGATTGGCCGAGTGGCCGAGTGAAGGGGGGCTTCTCTTTTCCACATTTCTGTCTAACTAAGCTAATCTACAAGATGTGGCCAAGATGTGATAATTAGTGAACTAGATTTCAGGGCCAGGAATGCATATTAATACATACTTCATTATTGGTTGTTTGAAAGTTAAGAAGTACAGAAGAAAAAAGTCAATTGATGGTTCTTTTGTTTATCAATTCTTTTGTTAGTCACTCCTCTCATTATTTATCTTATTTCTTATTGTTGCTTGTCAGAGGCAGTCTGTTTTGGTTGATTTTGTTGTTGTTTTTTGTTGTGAGTAGCAGGGTTAGGGTGTTTTGGAACGGGTCAAGGGCTGATTTCAGATGCTTAGCGCACAGAGACCATGACTTATGTCTGTATATGTGCTGTCTGCAGTTCTCTTGCCTTTACTGTCCTTTACCCTTCTCCATAGACTTCACACAGAAGCAGCTGGCTCCTGGTTAGCATACTCGCCGCAAGCTTTCTTTGCTTTTGCTGCTCTTGTGTTGTATAGAGGGCGTTAAGGTTGGTGCTGAAGGCGTCTATAATCCCATACACTTCAGACTGATTGATGAAGACCAAAAAGGCAAATAGAACACTTTTTCATATGGCGGACCCGTGTTTTTGGACCTGCGACAACATGATGAAAGAATGTGTGTTTTTCCAACCCTTGTTAAAAGGCGGATTGAGGAGGTGTCATCGATGCACCGTGCACTGATCCAGCAGTTATGAAAACAAAAGTCCCAATAAAACCCTAATGTTGAAATGGTCATTTATTTAAATGAAAAATAACTCAAATGGATAGCAAAATAGTAATTAATAGCGATAGATTAGCAGGTAATATGGGCGGACCCACCAGTTGAACGCACACGGTTGGAGGACTGCCTCGGCTTCTGCCCAATCATTGCGGTCAATCATCTCCCAGCTGGAAAAAACTGTTCAACTGTAGCCCAAAACTCACGAGCGTGGTCTGGTCAGTGGGAAATAGAGGGCGTCATAACTCCACGGCTTCACAAAGTTCCGCGCTCCTTTTCCGTTCCTGTGAAGGACAAACACATGAACATCCTGACACAGCTTCCTCACAGTGACAATCTCTGCCTCAAGCAAACCAAGACTGCCATGTTCCACCAACCAACTTACAAACTGGTTACTTATTTAGTCATAATTGGTTTCTAAATAGACAAATTGGAGGAGTGAGGAGACGGGATCATCAGGTGCGTGATCTGCACAGACCTTCTCCAGTATTCCTCCGCACTCTCTTGTTGTGGTTTATTGTAATAGCCCCAGGTGTAATGTAATGTGTAAAGGTGCAACAGGGAACAGACAGCATATTGTGGTCTGATGCATTCACAACATTTTACAAGACTCTTTCTGTTGGACAAACATCGTGGATTATTAAACAGAGAAGTTTGGTTGTTTTACTCCAACACTACAGTTCTACATGTTTTCCCCCATTCACATAACAAATGTTTCATCAGTGTAATGGTGGATGATTATGTAAATGTGCCCAGTGTAAATGGAAGACCAGTGTTAATGGACGGCTGTATGTCTGACCGGCCTGCGGCACTTTGAACGCAGCAGTAATGATGAACAATGAGCTAATGCAGCGCCAGACCCCGGGTGAAGCACACCCATTATTCTTGTTGATCCCAAAGACTGCATACATTAGATATGGAGGGTCGGAACATAAGGTGCTATTTGAAATGGTGTTATGAAAACCGAGGTGTAAGTAAATCCATGGTAGGGTTTTGGTAGGTTTTGATGGTTGAGGACGCTATGGGTTAGGGCTCGGCAATGTAATACCGCATTATTATTGAGTGACAGTATGAAGAGGACATAGGTGAGAAGAGAGAGAAGAGGGGATTGGAGAAAAGAGAGAAGAGAGAAGAGGGGAGTAAGTTATTTAAACTGGATCAATGCTTTAACTGATTTTATGTACTGATTTGGTGCTGATGGCTCAGGGCTGCCAAATAAAAACCGACTCAAAAAAAGCAATACTTTGGGCGTGTGTGTGTATGAGTGTGTGTGTGTGTGCGCGTAAACTTGTGTGTGAGAGTGTTGTTAGATGTGTGGGTGTGTGCGTGTGACAGTGTGATTTGACTTGAGCCCATGGAGATCCTCATTGCGTGGGACATGTGTCAGAGACCGGAGTGTCCCCTCTGGACCTGTCCACTCCACATAGTAGCCGTCATGGGGGATCTATGACAAGTGTTGAGTCCATTTAAGCCATCACTGTCACAGCAGAGCCCGCTGACCCAGAGCGCTGTGTGACATCACCAGTAAAACATGACTAAAGCGGGCTAGGACAGTTTTCCCAAATATAATCACACTCCAATCTGTTGACTTGTGTACTTCATCATACAGGTCAGAATTTAGTCATGTGACATTTTTCCCCCGCTTGTACCCCTCCGCTTTCGGACACCTAAGCAAACTTTACAGTCCCCTTCCGGGCTCACCGACAACGTTAGAAACTCAGAAGCAGCTGCCTGAGTTCAGCTCTGGTGCTTCTCCAGTTGTGAGGAGATAGACCAGCATCAGCATATTTACTCATTTATGCTGAATATTTGAGATATATCACTGAGCAATGCTACTTTTGAGAGTTTTCTGTCTGGTAACGTTAGCATATCTGACAAACTTTGCCTCTACTCTTTTGTCTGCCTTTTGGGATTGAAAAACTCATCCATTGCTTGTGATTTAAAGACCTTATGACGGGTTTGATTTATTTAGAAATACAGTTTTAATACCATTTTATATTAGAAGAGAACTACTAAAGGTTTCAAAATCAGTTGTTGTTTTTTTTGTCTGATCCCCCCAAATCGAAATAACCCCATAGCAACGCCCTTAGAAACGAAAAAACTTCACAGCCCTTGGTGACGTCAGAACGGGTACGTTTCAATGCTGTAAGTTGTTTACAATTTGGTATTCGTTCTTTTTTCGCGGATATTCAAGATGACAAGGCCGTGTACAGCGAGTCTAAGATAACTACTAGAATGTAACATTTCATTGTCACTGAGATAGTCCAGTGGTTGTGTCGATGGACTGCCAATCCAAACACTGGGGTTCAAATCCCACCTCGGACATTTTTTTCACACTCAAAACGGCAATTTATGTGTAGTGAACAATTGTCACCTGTAGAGTGCAGTATTGTGTTGGGCATCAGTGGAGAGAAGAGAGAAAAGGCAGTCCTGTGGCATAGATCCATGGTTTTCAATGCATGGGCGTAACCCGCTATGACGTCACACACAGGTTAGAGCATAGACAACTTAAATTCATGAAAAACACGTTCTTTTTATAAAATATAGGATTTTTTTTGCCGGAATCTCTTTCAAATTGACATTGTCATGCAATTTTGATATCCACTTTTTTTTTTTTTAAACCCGTCATAAGGTCTTTAAATACCCAATCATTGGAGTAAATGAACACAACTCACCGTAGAAACATGCGAGCACATGTGCACACATTGTGCTAACACATCTTTAAGAAATAATGTGGTTTTTCAGTAGCTGCTTCCTGAATTCTATCTGATCCAATGCATTCAAACACAGCTCAGAGCAGAGATACAGACTTTTGCTTATTGTTAAATTGCGTGGTTCTGGCTGGTCAGGGTGTGAGGTGTGTGGGTCTGGCTGGTCAGGCTTAAAACAAGGGCCACAAAGATGACAATATGTAACGTCACAAGAAAGTCAGCAATATGCGTTCAAAAACATACGAGTCTAATATAAGATTGACTTTTCCTTTGTTCCTAAATGGCTCTGCTGTCCTTGTCTTGATAGTATCTGGTTACATGCACGGTAAACGCTGTAGAAATGGTTACTACAAATAGAGTGGTTTTCCATACAACAATCCTTATCCAATTCAAATGAAATTGGACGAGGACAGAGATCCGGTTTCACGAGTGCTTTGTAAACATACTCAATGTATGAGTATTTCCTAGCCCTGTGCAGTGTTCCGTCTCTCCCAGTCTGTGGTGTAGTGCTCGGTCTATGTGCCTGTATGACTCCTCATGTTTCTGCCTTGGTGGATTAACCCTTGTCTCGCTCCTGATCCCAACTGATCCCGAAATGTTCTGAGCTAAACGACTAACTCCATGTGTACTCAACATGTGAAGCCAAAGTCAAAGTGGGTAAAGATTCTTATGTGTCCGGTGTGGCGTCCTGGCAGGGCTTTCCGAGGCATTGCCGAGAGAAAGAGGAGGAAAAGGGAAGAAGCAGCCACCGCGATGGAGAGGTACCGCCCTGTGACCGTGTGTGTGTCCGTTTGTGGATTTTAACTTGAAAAGATAAATATAAAGATTTTAAAATTGTGTATATTAAATGGGACTTAACCAGCAAAATGGTTTTTTCACCAACTGTGGCAATTTTTTTTCCCATCATCTCCTCTTGATAGGCAATACACTATATTGCAACATACAGTGCCTTGCGAAAGTATTCGGCCCCCTTGAACCTTTCAACATTTCGCCATATTTCAGGCTTCAAACATAAAGATATAAAATTTTAATTCTTTGACATGAATCAACAACAAGTGGGACACAATCGTGAAGTGGAATGAAATTTGTTGGATAATTGAAACTTTTTTAACAAATAAAAAACTGAAAAGTGGGGCGTGCAATATTATTCGGCCCCTTTACTTTCAGTGCAGCAAACTCACTCTAGAAGTTCAGTGAGGATCTTTGAATGATCCAATCTTGTCCTAAATGACTGATGATGATAAATAGAATGCACCTGTGTGTAATCAAGTCTCCGTATAAATGCACCTTGATAGTCTCAGGGTTCTGTTTAAAGCGCAGAGAGAACCATGAAGACAAAGGAACACACCAGGCAGGTCCGAGATACTGCTGTGGAAAAGTTTAAAGCCGGAGTTGGATACAAAAAGATTTCCCAAGCTTTAAACGTCTCAAGGAGCACTGTGCAAGCAATTATATTGAAATGGAAGGAGTATCAGGGGCGACAGTAGCTCAGTTGGTAGAGCATTGGCCTTATGGCCAGAAGGTTGTGGGTTCAATTCCCACCTCTGCACCTTCTCCACCGACTCCCACTGATGACTGCTGTCGTTGTGTCCTTGGGCAAGACACTTAACCCCACTTTGCCCAAAGCCCCCGCTGCAAGATCAAGGCTATGCTCAACTCAGAGCAGCCGTCCTCCTGTGGACTCACCACCTGCAGAGGGTCAGTGAGGGGCTGGTGCTATGAGACTTGGGTGGCATCTCTGACTGCCACCCCCCTGACCCAGAAATGGATTAAAGGGTAGAAAATGGATGGATGGAAAATGGATGGAAGGAGTATCAGACCACTGCAAATCTACCAAGACCCGGCCGTCCCTCCAAACTTTCATCTCAAACAAGGAGAAGACTGATCAGAGATGCTGACAAGAGGCCCATGATCACTCTGGATGGACTGCAGATAACTACAGCTGAGATGGGGATGGTGTGTTCAGGGTGATAAGCTGGGTTGCTTTTACGCCAAACAAATCGTTTTGCATTGTGGCCAAAAAGTTTGATTTTGGTTTCATCTGACCAGAGCACCTTCTTCCACATGTTTGGTGTGTCTCCCAGGTGGCTTGTGGCAAACTTTAAGAGACTTTTATTGGATATCTTTGAGAAATGGCCACTCTTCCATAAAGGCCAGATTTGTGCAGTGCACGACTGATTGTTGTCCTATGGACAGACTCTCCCACCTCAGCTGTAGTTATCTGCGGTTCATCCAGAGTGATCATGGGCCTCTTGGCTGCATCTCTGATCAGTCTTCTCCTTGTTTGAGATGAAAGTTTGGAGGGACGGCCAGGTCTTGGTAGATTTGCAGTGGTCTGATACTCCTTCCATTTCAATAGAATTGCTTGCACAGTGCTCCTTGAGATGTTTAAAGCTTGGGAAATCTTTTTGTATCCAAATCCGGCTTTAAACTTCTCCACAACAGTATCTCGGACCTGCCTGGTGTGTTCCTTTGTCTTCATGGTTCTCTCTGCGCTTTAAACAGAACCCTGAGACTATCAAAGAGCAGGTGCATTTATACGGAGACTTGATTACACACAGGTGCATTCTATTTATCATCATCAGTCATTTAGGACAACATTGGATCATTCAAAGATCCTCACTGAACTTCTGGAGTGAGTTTGCTGCACTGAAAGTAAAGGGGCCGAATAATATTGCACGCCCCACTTTTCAGTTTTTTATTTTTTTTTTAAGTTTAAATTATCCAATAAATTTCGTTCCACTTCACGATTGTGTCCCACTTCACGATTGTGTCCCACTTGTTGTTGATTCATGACAAAAAATTTAAATTTTATTTCTTTATGTTTGAAGCCTAAAATGTGGCGAAATGTTGAAAGGTTCAAGGAGGGCGAATACTTTCGCAAGGCACTGTAACTACAGCGCCTCTTGAAAGAAAGGCAAGGGATTATTTTTTTTGTATAGCACATGTTCATACACAAGGCTACTCAATGTGCTTAACAAATCGAGAAAAGGAAAATTAAAACCACACAAGGCATTCAAATCGTAAAACATCACAGTACACACAAAAGAGTGAAGATACAATTCGTCAGTTGTATGCACAGCTAAACAGAACTGTTTTTAACCTGAACCTGGTCATGAAAGACTGTCTCACATTTTCTGAAAGACAGTTCCAGGTTTTAGCTGACAAATCTGAAACGAGGCCTCCCCTTGTTTAGTCTAGAATCCAGTAGGAGGCCAGTCTCTGTGCTCTTCAGAGTCCCAGTAGGAGGCCAGTCCCTGTGCTCCTCAGAGTCCCAGTAGGGGGCCAGTCCCTGTGCTTTTCAGAGTCCCAGTAGAAGGCCAGTCTCTGTGCTCTTCAGAGTCCCAGTAGGAGGCCAGTCCCTGTGCTCCTCAGAGTCCCAGTAGGGGGCCAGTCCCTGCTCTTCAGAGTCCCAGTAGGAGGCCAGTCTCTGTGCTCTTCAGTCCCAGTAGGAGGCCAGTCCCTGTGCTTCTCAAGAGACCTAGTAGGAGGTCAGTCCCTGTGCTTCTCAGAGACCCAGTAGGAGGCCAGTCCCTGTGCTTCTCAGAGACCCAGTTGGAGGCCAGTCCCTGTGCTTCTCAGAGACCCAGTAGGAGGCCAGTCCCTGTGCCCCTCAGAGTCCGAGTTGGTTCATATGACACTTCGGTGCAAGATGCAAAAGGCCAAACTTTTAATTCACAAGTTTTGGATTTCATTCAACTTAAATTTTGTGACAGCATTTGTTTCGTCGTCCAAGAATGTCTTTGGTCTGAATATTTCACAAAACACTAACCATGAGTGAGAAAGAAGTTGTTATCTCTTTTAACTTGTGGCCGTGTAAACTCTGCAGACGTTCATTCAACCTCAAAAAGTCACAATTCCCTGGAGCGAGTGAAGCGTGCAGTGGAACAGCTCTGTAAAACATGTCTCCCGGACGCGAGTTGTTGTTATGGGGTAGTTCTCGGTCTAGAGACTGAGGTCTGACGCTTCTAATCAGCATCGGTCACAAAACTCAGAACCGCGAAATGTCTTTGTCGATTCTGTTACAAGGTTTTATGTCCAAGAACCCTCCCCCTCCCACAAGGCTGAAACATGAGCGAGGCTGTCTCTGTGTGAGTGGTTTTAAAATGATCTGGTTTAGTCCTGGTTTAGTCCTGGTTGGGTTCAAGTTTGTTCCTGGTTTAGTCCTGGTTTGGTCTTTGTTTAGTCCTGGTTTTGTCCTGGTTTTGTCCTGGTTTAGTCCTAGTTTAGTCCTGGTTTAGACTTCGTTTAGTCCAAGTTTGTTCGTGGTTTAGTCCTGGTTGGGTCCAAGTTTGTCCTGGTTTGGTATTTGCTTAGTCCTGGTTTGGTCCTAGTTTATTCCTGGTTTGTCCTGGTTTTGTCCTGGTTTGTTCTGGTTGGGTCCAAGTTTGTTCCTGGTTTAGGCCTGGTTTGGTCCTAGTTTGGTTCTGGTATAGTCCTCGTTTGAATTTGGTTTAGGCCTAGTTAAGTTCTGGTTTGATTCTGGTTTTGTCCAGATTTAGTCCTGGTTTGGTCCTGGTTTAGTTTAGTCCTAGTTTGGTCCTGGTTTAATCCTGATTAGCCATGTTTCTAACTTCACTAATACAGGATTGAAGTAGTTAGCCATTCTTCTGAGTTATTTCGGACAGGTTTGAATTGGTTAACCATGCTTCTAAATTCATTTGGACAGGTTTGAAGTGATTTGCCATGCTTCTAAGTTCGTTAGTACAGATTGGAGTGGTTATCCATGCTTCTAAATTCACTAATATAGGATTTAAGTAGTTAGCTTGTAGTTAGTTTAAAGTGATTAGCCATGCTTCCAAGTTGATTCAAACAGGCTTGAAGTTATTAGCCATGCTGCTAAGTTCCCTTGGATAGCTTTGTGGCTGTGTGTTTTTAGATGAAGAGGCTGCAGTTGTCACTAAAGGGACTATTTCCTGTGGTGTAGGGACACGACAGTGTGATGCGTGGTTTCAAAGACTCCTGTCAATCGGATCCTTCCCCCTCGGTCTGAGTCACTCTCTATTTGAGGCCAACCACCGACACGTCCATCACTGTGCGGCAGAGAGCACCTGCCTTTACTTCACTGCAGAGTTAAAGCTGGGGTACCTGACTTTTAACCTGGCAAGAGCCAGATTGATGATTGTGTAGAACTCTAATGCGTTCTCCACAATATCAATCTGGGACTTCTGCAGGAGAATCCTTTCGGGGACAGGAGGGATAAGCAGCAGAATACTTCAAGCTGATTGGGCGAAGTGACGCTGTGCTCCCGCCTACCAAGGTTGCCGTCCAGAAATGCACAAAGCGCCTCTCGCTGTTCATCTTTCAAAAAAGAAATTGGAGATTCTGCTAAAACTGACTTGATAGCCTCAGCTACGCGTCCGTCCTCCTGCGTAGCCATGTTTGTTTTGCTTTGGCCCAGCACTTCTTGCTTTCGTCAAACCCGGATATCCCGCCCTAAACCCCCAGACTGGCGCGTGATTGGCTTGAACACCTAGATGTTCTACTCGAAAAGGGTTGGCGGGAGCGGGACAAGATGTATTCTCGAGTGTTTGTGAACTCACAAATACCGCGAGAATTCGCCTGACTTTAAAACACACACAAAAACACACATCTCTGTAATGCAATATGATGTGTGGGGTCTAGGGCTGGGATAAACGATTATTTTTTAAACGATTAATCTAACGATTATTTTTTCGATGCATCGATTAATCTAACGATTATTTTTTTCGCTTCGATTCGATTTCGATTCGATTCGATTCTCGATTATCTCCCCATTAATTGACTAATATTGATGTATACATGTTGATTTAAATATTTTAATGAAAAAAACATGAATTCCTTCACAAAAAATATGTATTGCTTGCTCTTAAAATTCAAAAATAAGACATTCTTAGAGGTAGCATAAAACCTTAAAGCCTTGAAAACACAGCTTACTGAAAAAAGTGCATCTTATCATTCTTGAAACAAACATTTGATGCTTAGCATTCAATAAAAATATGAAAAAGTTCAGCCAAATACTTGTGTAGAGCAACTAAAAGAAAACAGTAACCAATGTAAACTTGAAGGCTTTAAGCTAAACAAAGAGTGCTTTTCCAGCAAAAACAGTGGGAGCCATCAGCCTGTCATGGCGTCCTTCCTGAACCAACAGAGTTTAACATTTAAGTTGAAGACACATAGGCCTATATTACTGAAGTCCATTAATTAAAGTGCATCTCTTAAATTCTTCATTCATATAAAAATAACAGTCAAAACTCTGCCACTCACCTTTTTCTTAAACTCAAAATTCAAAAATAAAATTCAAGTAAGAGTGTACAAGAGAAAAACAATGCATTGTGTAGCAAATAAAAAGGTCAACCAGTCATCCTTTCTTTTAGAGTTACTGAAAGAATACAGTAGAAGTCATCTCAGAGGACTTTAAACAACATTGAAGTCACTAACACAGATCAGAGAATCAATCAACAGTTAAACACATTAAGGATATTGAACACATGTTGAAAAATTTCCATATACATGACAGTGAATAATACATGTAGGGGCTATTACGGGCGCCAATATTCCGTTTGATACAAAGAAAGACAGACTAGTTGTAAGCTGTAGAGTTGCCACAGGACGCGTCATCAGCCTACGTCAGCAGCCGCGGACTGCTATGAAAACATTAGCTTTGTGGTTTCACAGGCGCAGTTGACTGCTTAAACTAAACTTTGCACGAAACTTTGACTCTTAAAACCCACATGTGACAAAACGGAACCATCAACATCTCGCCTCAAATTGCATTAAAAGTGACATTCGTGTCTGAATTCGTTCGTATTTTAACTTTTAAAGAAATTCACGGTCCGCCATCTTGGTTTGCTTCGGCTGCCGTGAGACGCGCATGTGCAGGTTTGCATTACATGATAAACAGCTGAGGCTGTGCATCTCTTCAAGGCAGTGTATCTCAGCGTTACACCGGCTTGCACTTCTCTAACACGGCACTCACATTGCTACCGCTCGCCGCCATCTTTGTTTTGTGTGTGACGCACCGACGCGCATATTATACGTCGGTGTATTTTTTGCGTCGACGTCACCGATTACGTTGACGCGTTGTCCCAGCCCTAGTGGGGTCGTCACTAGTTTTCACAATTGTGTATTATTATAATTATTATCACATCTTTAGATCAGTTTTTTCAGACGGAAAAGTGAAAAATAGAGGATTACCCTCAGCCAATCAGCTCTCAGGCCAAAGAGTCCAATAGTGACTCATAAAGTTAGTTAGATTTGTTTTGTTTTTTTACAAGTATGCAACAAAAACTGTTTTAATAAGATGAAGCTTTATGACATAGATTTCAGATGTTCCACTAAGAATCTTTTTTAGGATTTTGAGATTTAACTTCCTTAAAGATATACTCTTTATTCCGAATTCCTATAGTCCACCCATAAATAATAATGTGTTTGTACCAACACAAAGATTCTTGTAAAAGTGAATTCTCTTAATCTTAAAAACACGTTCTGTCCTTTGCTTTTTGCCGAAGCGTTTTCAGCGCGAACGCCTAACGAGCTTTCATACAAGTGCACGTACCGAACTGCAGTGTGAGATGATAGAAGCTCACTGCAGTAAAACCTAATTGATCCCATGCATTCATATCACACAGAAAATACGCAGTCAGTCTTTTACCACAGTCATAATTAATTCTTTGCATATTTGTCTTTTCTCTACAGGAATTTCCGTAAACACCTTCGGATGGTGGGCAGCCGCAGAGTCAAAGTCCAGAGTAAGTGTGATTTATGCATGTGGTCATCGATCTGTAAATGCATGTTTTTATTTTGATTATGGAGTGGCCGGCATGGCTTTACATTGGGCTTTCATTACATGGAATCAATTAGAATTTTGGGTTTGACCAAAACACAGCTGAGAATTATTTATGAGCCGTTTCAGCCGTGCCGTTAGTGACAGCCATCTAAATATGTAAACTATTTTATGGTAATAGGAGGATTATTCGCTGACTGCATTCATTGATTTATACATTTCTGTTCCTGTGCAGGCTGTTAAAGTGACCTGCTTACCGTGTTGTCTACTCGTGCTCATTTACAAGTCAATAGTGAAGCATAACTGAGTGGTTAGCACTTCTCGACAAGAAGGTTCTATGCTACTGGGAGTAGGCCAGATAATCCCTAACTCTGGGGCTAGAGCTATCACTTCTCAGCACTTCATGAAACCTATTAGTACGTATTAACCAGATAAGGACAGCCTGTTGTGGTCTGATTTGTTCACAATATTGTATTTTTACAAGACTCTCTTTTGGGCAAACATATCTATGATAAGAGGGAAGTAACTCCCTGTGCATATTTGTTTGCCGACCTGGAGACCCAGAGAAGACCCAGGCCCCTGATAGTTTGATAAAGATCACATGTATGTTGTGCCATAATTTCCCACACAGTTTTATTCGCTGTTTACACGAGGACCCTACGACATTAATACGATAGAGTTGGAAACGGCCTCCAGAGTGAAACAGGACAGATACGCTGCTCAGCGGGGGCTGTTTCACAGCGGTGTGAAGAAAAAGGTGTGAGTTCCCTGCTGCAATGACCTCACCACTTCCCCGCAGTAGTTGAGAACAAACGTAAACAACAATGGCGGCGGATCAACTAATGCTACGTGTGCGTCGAGCGCTACACAGTAGAGAATTCTACTCCTTCGTTTGTCCAAACGAAACACCATTCTTTCATGTTTTGGCGGCGGCCTGAGGTGGATGGTGTTGAGGAAGTCATTATACTGGTGGGGTCAGGCGTGTTGTGTTGTAAAGTTCCACAGCCCCCTACTGGCCGGCCGATAGACCCACATGGTTTTCCATCTTCGTGTAGACGCTCAGCACTTCGAATACAGAGCTTTGTCGTTTTTTCAAATTGCTTTGCAGCGTCTCCTTCTAAAATGGGCCTTAAAAGGCTGTTTCTACACGGTGGCTGAGTGGATATCACTCTCGCTTCTCATCAACAAGGTCCTGCGTTCGAATCCTGGTCGGAACAGGGCCTTTCTGAGTGGAGTTTGCATGTTCTCCCCGTGTCTATGTAGGTTTCCTCCGGGTACTCTGGTTTCCCCTACCACTAAAAACATGTACAATAGGTCTGGCATGTTTCTCCTGTACTGGCGACCCCTGCTCTCTGTGTGAGAGACAAATGCCCACAATTATAAACAACGTGTTATTTAAGAAAAAATACGAGTCATACCTCAGGTTTATGGTTAAAGTAGTCTGCATTTAGTTCAAATGAGAATGGGACAATCTCAGAAGTAAAATGTTGCCATGAAACGCTGGTCCCTGTCGTCACTGTTGTCCCTGTCGTCCCGGTCTCCTATGTTTAATCAGGATTCTGGTCAGAAGCATCTCTGGAGAAGTACACACTGTACATGTAAGACATGTAATGTAAACAAAGCACTCAATGAACAGATGGCGCAGTAGAAGAGCGGAGCAGGTGGCTGCACCGGGCTCACTCTATTCTTGTAGTCGCTTTGTTGCATCTGGCAAGTGCAAATTAGATCTGATCACCTGACACTGTAATCTGCAAGTACAAAACAACAGTGGGCTTTCAGAATGGTATAAATCTGTTGGTACAATGCACAGGCCTGTGTGAGTGTGTTCTATTCAATCCAATTCAATGTATTTTTGCATTTCCCTAAATCACAACAGCAGACGTGTCATAGACTTTACAAAGTTGTTGATTCCTCAACAAGAGATCAGAGAATCAAACGGTTAGAACACAGGAAATGCAATATTAACGAACACATAGGAACCATTTTGTCAATAGAGCGGGAGACGACTACGTTACAGAAACATCTTAAATAATCCATGCTGTTTGTCCCAACAAATGAGTCTTGTAAAACAGATCACAACATGCGTTCTTCATCTTATTAGAAACATAATATTTTTTGCAGACTTGTAAGAAAGAACCCTGTGAGTCACTATTTCACGAGGGCTGAGTGAGGGTGGATCTCTCGTTTCTCGTTTCTGTCTGAAAAAGCCAATCTAAAACTGTGACAGATGCAGGCATCAACCTGCTTCTGAAAACTAGTGATACAATTGTTTTAGAGCCAGAAACAATTTAGATGGATTTTATTGCATAGTTTTATTTTGTTTGAAAGTTTATGGACTGAGGGTTTGATTCACTCAGAGACACTTCTGTTGTGTGGATGCAGTCAAAGGGAACTCAGTGGTTCAACAGGGGTTTTATTATCAAAGGGACAGGCTGTTGTTATTAGCATGTGTTAAAACGCACGCTCCATCCTCATCCTCACGAGACTGTATCCACCGCCAGCCTTCGTGGACCGCCGAGCCAAGAGCTTCAGCCGCTCCTGGAGTGACCCCACCCCTGTCAAGCCCGAGTCCTTGCATGACTCCAGAGACAGTGAGTCCTCAGCACACGTCACAAACAAGTACATACACAAACACCCACACACATACAAGTACACACACCACACAAACAAATACACACACCACAAATATACAAGTTCAGGCATACATACACACACTGCATACAAGTACACACACAACACACAGGCAAGTACAAACACAGCACATAAACAAGTACACACACACATGCATCACAAATACACATGCGCACACCACATACAAGTACACACCACACAAACAAATACACACACACCACATATATACAAGTACAGGCATACACTATACAAACACATAAAAGTACATACCTTGCATACAAGTACACACACAACACACAGGCAAGTACATACACAGCACATAAACAAGTACACACACACATGCATCACAAATCCAATCAGAATGTAAAAGTCAAGTCAGTATGTACCAACAAAATCAACGGCTGCATTCTGGAGGAAATGATAGAGCTGAAGTTGGCTGGATGACATTGAACTCGTGTTCATGATCTCAAAGTGTGAGCCAGACACAAGTTCACGGCGTCATTCCACCAACTCTAGCTCAGTCCACACAGGCATGCTATACCTTGTTGTGTAGCTCAAAAACTCCAAATCGTTGAATCTATCTCCGACTTTATTTTTTGATGTTGTCACATAATGTTGGTGAGATAGTAAACTAGTAAAGTTCCGTTCTGGCATATTCAAAATCAAAATGGGCGTAATATCATACCCCATTTTAAAACTTGAATCCAGTTAAAACAGTTTTGCAATCTTGGTTGTCATGGTGAACTAAAATGGCCGCCGTTCTAAAAAGTACACCCCTGATTTTGAGTCTGCCCATGCAGCTGTAAAGTTGACTTCACAAACTTACAACTTACTTCAAAATAGAAAACAATTATTTGACCTAACCGCGTTTTCTAATCTCCAAACAATTCATTTTGTTTTCAGTTGCTTGCCTACACCGGTCAGAAAATCTTCATAATAGTTGGATTGTTATAGTACAGTGTAACACACATCCACACAACTCCTTATATTTGCTTTATTGTCAAAAACAGACTCGGGAAGTAGGAAGTTCTCCTCAGTATTACATTGTGGGAGGCTTATCTGCTCCTTTTGTCCTTCTTTTGTCATGGAGCTTTCGCGAAAGTTCACCGTGGTAGACCCGGCTGTTGCTGCCAGGCCACAGGTTGCTATTCCTCGACTCATCAATACCAGCAACGCCCACACCCAGTCAACCAATAACCACCAGGACAGCAAGTTAAAAGCCAGAGACGCCCACTTCCCGATCTTCTGAAGTCTGCAAACTTCTGAAGCCTGCAAGGTGCATGTCGCTAACGCACCTGTTCGCAAATGCATGCGTGGTTCTGGAGGGGTCGCTTCTGCTCACGTGTTGCTCGTGCGCGTGGCCCTGCTGTCCTCAGTCTGGCTGCTCGTGGTCTGCTCCTCCTCCGCGTCCCTGCACCTGCTGTGGTTCGCATATCCCCACTGCTCTCCTCCTCTGCGGGCTCTTCTGCGGGCTGCTCCGCGGGGCCCCTCCGCGGTTCTGTGCTGCTCGTTCCTCGTGGTCTGCTGCCGCGCGCAGACGGTCTGGCGGTGCTGTGCGTGTCCCTGCCTCCGACTGGCGGTGCCGCGTTGTCCCGTTGCTCTTCCCAAGTCTCCTGGCATGTGAGTACAGTGAGTGTGCCGACCGCGGACAGTTTAATCCCGGAGTCTAGGTTGCAGGCGGCTGGTTTTTGCCCTACGCACTTGACTGCAGGCGTCAGTCTTCGCCCGTGCTTGGTCTGCAGGCTCCGTTTTACACGTGTTGAGCTAACTGAGGGTCAATGCATCTTAAATGGCATCAATCTCCAATGTCTGAGGGATATAAGAGGAGCAATGTGCATTAATTCAGATTCATGTTCTGCCACTTGCAGTAAAACCACGTTGGAAAAAATGTGCAAAGACTACCCCATCGTGCTCCAGACGGCACACACAGAGCTCTTGCACGGCGCCATCTTTACAGCATCAATCTCATTACTCGCAAGTCACTATTGTTAAATGATGTATTTAAATTCGTCTATCTGCAGGAGGAAGGAGGGGCCATGCATTTAAATAGCTAGGTCACTAGTATTAAACTGGGTAACTAAACTGCAGTTGTTGCATTTCGAAAGTGCAGCAGAAAGAAAAGGGGCCCAATGTGAATATGCAATGGGTTTGAAGTGGAGCTGTAGCTATGAACGCATGGAACAGTGATCGTTCATGCGTCTCTGCCATAACCAAAGCAGCAAGATGGCTCCAGGGGACATCTGTTTCTCGCATGGGAATGTTTCGGATTCGGGTTGATTTATTTCCTCAGGCTCTTAAACAACCGTGGGCATGGTTCTCTGACCGCCGCTGCTGCGGTCCCTGCTGCCGTTCCTACTGATGCCTGATCCCGCTGCTGCCTATTCCTGCTGCTGCCTGTCCCTGCTGCCTGCTCCTGCTGCTCCTACTACTACATGTGCCGCTGCTGCTGTTCCTGCCGCTGCCGCTCCGCAGGCTCCCAGGCTGCACCTATCTCTACGGCTCGGCTCTTCAGACACGTACGTAACCTGGCTCACGGAGACAAGCGGCGCACGCTGGCGTGACACGTCTGTTGTTCGTATGAATTGCATTGTGCTGCTGCTGCTTGCTGCTTCTGCTGCCGCTACTGCTGCTATTGCTGCCGCTGCTGCTTCATACTGCATCTGCTGCCGTGCTGCTGCTGCTTCTTTACTTTGACACCTCTCTTCACTGCGCATCTCTTTTACTGAAACACTAAACAGCTTCAACTATATTCTACTGCGGTGGCTTGATACAGGATTATTGCTGTTATTATCTACGGATGCTGCAACCGCTGCTGCTGCTGCTGCTTCATGCTGCTACCGTTACTGCTGCCGCTGCTGCTTCATACTGCATCTGCTGCCGTGCTGCTGCTGCTTCATGTACTTGACATCTCTCTTCACTTCGCATCTCTTTTACTGAAACACTAAACAGCTACAACAATATTCTACTGCTCTGGCTTTGATACAGGATTATGGCTGTTATTATCTACGGATGCTGCAACCGCTGCTGCTTCATACTGCTACTGCTAATGCTGCTTCTGCTGCTTCATACTGCTACCGTTACTGCTGCTGCTACTGCTGCGCTGCTGCTGCTGCTTCATGTACTTTGACATCCCTCTTCACTTCGCATCTCTTTTACTGAAACACTAAACGGCTACAACAATATTCTACTGCTCTGGCTTTGATACAGGATTATTGCTGCTATTATCGACGGATGCTGCAGCTGCTGCTGCTTCACACTGCTACTGCTGCTGCTGCTTCATACTGCTACTGCTGCTGCTTCATACGGCTACTGCTGCTACTGCTGCTGCTTCATTTACTTTGCCATCTCTCTTCACTTCGCATCTCTTTTACTGAAACCCGGAACAGCTACAACAACATTCTACTGCTGTGGCTTTGATACAGAATTATTACTGTTATTTTCTAAGGACGCTGCTACTGCTGCTGCCGCGGCTTGATACAGGACTTTGCTGTTATTATCTGAGGCTACTGCTGCTGCCGCTGCTGCTACTGCTACTGCAACCCATTCTCTCAGAAGCTCATCCTGCTTCTAATGGATGCAGCCCGGCTGAGTATGCCGCGCTGCGCCGGACCCGCACCTATGCTCCCAGGGTCGCTTCGGCGGTCGTGCTTCATCTCTCTACTGAATCTTCTGATTCTATCAGATGCAGCTGGCCAAGTAGCTGCGCTGAGCCGTCAATCGGACTCCTAATCAAAGGCATCCATACCTGGTTCTTCACTCTTCTGATCACAGGCTCCCCATCATGCTGCCCATCCTGCAGCGGCGCTGAACTCCGGCTCATCTTCCAAGTACATGTCTGCCCTCCTCGCAGCATCTTCTGCTCGCCTTCTGTGGCTTCTCTGCATAAGCGTTTCACCACTGCTCACTCAACCTTCAATGCGGTCCGAGACACGGCTTCCCGTCCTATCCTACTGGCCTAATTATCTACTCTCCAACCCAAGATTCTAAGCGTAAAGGCGCCTGCAACATCAATGGCCCTCTCCGGTGTGTCTCTCTGCCCCTACAGGTCTCCGCTTCTACACGGACGCTGCCCCTTCCGTGGGTTTTTGGGGGATTCTTCCAGGACCAGTGGTTCGCCGGCCGTGGCCCGCTACTTTCCCCGGAGCATTTCCTCTGCCCTACACGAGACATTTCCAGTGGTCGTGGCCTGCGCGCTGCGGAATCACACGTGGCAGAGAAAGAGGATCTCTGTCATGCGTGATCATCTCGACGTAGTGGAAGCATTAAACAAAGGTCGCTCTTCTCACCCAACATAATGTCCCCTGACCATTCAACCTTCATCTCAAACATTCAAAGATCAGAGGCGCCTGCAACACAATAATAGCTCGCTTCGACACATCTCTCTGCCCCTACAGGTCCATGATGCGTTACACTCGCCTCCGCGGCAAAAAGGAGATTTTAACGGACCTCTAATTCTCACTCCAGTCAACCTTCCCATAACAGCAACCTGGTTCAGAGCTCAGCTAAGATCCCTACTGCTCCTCTGCAATTGTCTCCCCAGCTCTATACAGCCCACTCCTTCAGGATAGGCGCTGCCACGCGCGCGACCTCGCTGGGGCTCCCCCACTCTTCCTCTGCAACGGCTGGGGCGCTGGTCCTCTTCGGCTTCTCCACCTACATCAGGCCAGATGCGACCGCTATCATGGCAGCACAACGTCTACCGGCTTCCTCGTAAGCTCCCAGCAAAGCAAGTAAGCAATAAGATTCTGGTGGCGGCACGCACTTTCCTCAAACGCTCAAAGATTCCTTGCTTCAGCGTCTGGCTGAATATGAGCGTGCGCTCATATTCTCAGTTCGCTCAAAGATTCCTCTGCTGCGGCTGGCTGAACATGCGCGTGCGCGCATGTTCTCAGTTCGCTCAAAGATTCCTCTGCTGCGGCTGGCTGAGCATGCGCGTGCGCGCATGCTCTCAGTTCGCTCA